AAAACCCTAAAACCCGTAAAACACAAAAAAAACCCCTAAAACCCCCAAAAAAACCCTAAAACAATAAAAAAAAAACCTAAAAACCTAAAAAGCCCTAAAACCATAAAAATCCTAAAACCCCTAAAAAGCTAATAAAAACCCCTAAAAACACTAAGAACCCTAAACAAACACTAAAAACAGTAAAAACCATAAAAAATCCTAAAAAACCCTAAAATATGCGAAAAACCCTAATAAAACCCTAAAAAACCATAAAATACTAAAAAAAACCTTAAATAAATCCTAAATAAACCCTAAAAAACCGTAAAACTCTAAAAAAACCCTAAAACCCCAAAAAACCCTAAATAAACCGTAAAAAATCCTAAAAATCCGTAAAAATCTTTAAAACGCTAAAACCCAAAAAAAAACCCTAAATAAACCCTAAAAACCCTTAAAGAACCCAAAAAAAGCTACACACACACACACAAAACCCTAAAACCATTAAAACCCAAAAAAAGGCTAAAAACCGTCTAAAAATCCAAAAAACCCTAAAACCCATAAAAAGGCCTAAAAAACCTAAATAAGCGATAAATAAACCCTAAAAACCCAAAAAAAAAAAAACCCCAAAAAACACAAAAAAAAAACCAAAAAAAAGCCCTCAAACCCAAAAAAAAAAAAACCCCTAAGAAAACCCTAAAAAAAACCCTACGAAACTCGAAAAAAATCCTAAAAAACCCTAAAAAAACTTTAAAAACCTTAAAACCCCTAAAAAAAATCCTAAAAAACACTAAAAAAAACCTTTAAAATCCAAAAAAAAAACCCTTAAAACCCTAAATAAACCTTAAAAAACACTAAAAACCCTTAAGTATCCCGAAATAACCCTAAATACCGTAAAAAAGGTTCAAAACCCCTAAAAACCCTAAATAAACCCCAAAACAACAATAAAACCCCTTTAAAAGGCCAAAATAAAACCTAAATAAACCCCAAAAAAAAACACCCTAAAAAACCTTTAATAAGGCTAAAAAAACCATAAACCCTAAAAAACCCTAAAACCCCATAAAACCCCTAAATAAACCCTAAATAAACCCTAAAAAAAACCCTAAAACCCCTAAAAAAACCCTAAGAAAACCCTAGAAAAACCCTAAAAACCCCTAAAACCCCTTAAAAACCTAAAGACCTTAAAACCCTAAAAACCCATAAAAAAACCCTTAAAAGCCCTAAAAATCCTAAAAACCCAAAAAACCCCATAAAAACCCTAAAAACCCTTAAAACCCCTAAAACCCTAAAACCCCTTAAAAACCTAAATAAGCGATAAATATACCCTAAAACCACTAAAACCCTAAAAAACCCAACGAAACTAAAAAAAAACCCTAAAAAAACCTTTAAAACCCTAAAAAACACTAAAAACCCTAAAAAGCCCTAAAACCCTAAAAATGCTAAAAAAAAACCTTAAAGAAACCCTAAATAAACCCTAAATAAACCATAAAAACCCTAAATAAACCTTTAAAAACCTTAAAAAAAACACTTAAGAAACCCGAAAAAAATGGTTAAAGACCCTAAAAACCCTTAAAAAACCCTTAAAAACCCAAAAAGTCCTTAAACACTAAAACCCCTTAAGAAACCCTAGAAAAACGCTTAAAGACCCCAAAAATCCTAAAAAACCCCTAAAATCCATAAAAACGCATAAAAATCCTTAAAAACACTAAAAACCCTAAAAACTCTAAAAAACCTAAATAACTTGAAAAAAACCCTAAAAACCCTATAAAAACCCTTAAAAACAAAAAAAAAAACCTTAAAAGCCCCAAAAAACCCTAAAAACACTAAGAAAAGCCTAAAAACCTTAAAATCCTAAAAAAGCCCTAAAACCATAAAAATCCTTAAAACCCTAAAAGGCACTAAAAAAACAATAAAAAACCCACAAAAACACTAAAAATGCACAAAAGCCCTAAAACCCCAAAAAACCCCTAAATAAACCTTAAAAACCCTTAAAAACCCTAAATAAATCCTAAATAAACCATAAAAGCCCAAAAAAACCCTAAAAACCCCTAAAACCCCCAAAGAAGCCTAAATAAATACTAAAACCCCCAAAAAAATCATTAAAACCCCTAGAAAACCCCTAAAAACCATAAAAATCCTAAAAACCCCTAAAAACACTAAAAATCCCTAAAAACACTTGAAACCCTCAGAACCCTAAAAACCCTAAAAACACTACAAAAATCCTAAAAACCCAAAATAACCCTAAAAAGCCCTAAAAACCATACAAAATCCTAAAAAACCCTAAAAAAACCTAAAAAATCCTAAAAACCCCTAACAAAACCCTACAAAACCCTAAAACCCCACAAAATACCATAAAAACCCTAAAACCCTAAATAAACCCTTAGAAACCCTAAATAAACCCTAAATAAATCCTAAATAAACCCTAAAAATCCCTAAAAATCGTAAAAAACCCTTAAAAGCCTAAAAAACCTAAAAAAACCTAAATAAACCGTAAAAAACCCTTAAAAAACCCTTAAAACCCTTAAAAATGTTAAAACCCTAAAAAAGCATAAATAAACCCAAAAAACCTTAAATAAACCCTAAAAAACCCTTAAAGAACCCTATAAAATCTTAAAAAACATTAAAACCCCCCCAAAAAACCCTAAACCCATTAAAACCCCCCAAAAAAGGCTAAAAACCCGAAAAAAACCCATAAAAGCCCTAAACACCCTAAAAACCTTTAAAAACCCTAAAAACCCAAAAAAATACTTAAAAATCCTAAAAATACCTAAATAAGCAAAAAATAAACCCTAAAAAACCAGAAAACCCTAAAAAAACCCAACGGAAACCCTAAAAAACCGTACGAAACCCTAAAAAACCCTAAAAAACCTTTAAAAACCCTAAAAACACTAAAAAAAACCTTAAAAATCCTTAAAAAAAAACCCTTAAAACCCTAAATAAACCTTAAAAACACTAAAAACCCTGAAAAACTATAAAAATAAAAAAACTCTAAAAACCCTTTAAAAAAACCCCTATATAAACCCTAACAAAAGCCTAAAACACAAAAAAAAAAAAAAAAAAAAAACCCTAAATAAACCCTAAAAAAGCCTAAAAAACCCTTAAGTAACCCGAAATAAACCCTAAATAACCTAAAAAGGCCAAAAAAACCCTAAAACCCCTAAATAAACCCTAAAACAACAATAAAAAACCCTTTAAAAGCCTGAAATAAACCATAAATAAACCCAAAAAACCCCTAAAAAACCATAAAAAAAACCCAAATAAACCCTAAAAAAACCAAAAAATCCAAAATAAACTGAAATAAACCCTAGAAAACCCAAAAAACCCTAAAAACCCTAAGAAAACCCTAGAAAAACCCTAAAAAAAACCCCTAAAAAACCTTTAAAAACCGTAAATAAATGCTAAATAAACCATAAAATACTATAACTAAACCTTGAAAACCCTAAAAAATCCATAAAGAACCCTAAAAAAATCCTAAAAACCCTAAAAACCCACCATAAAACTCCATAAAACCCCTAAAAACCCTAAAAACCCTATAAAACCCTAAAGACCTTAAAAACCCTAAAAACCCATAAAAACCCCTTAAAAGCCCTAAAAACCCTGAAAACAAAAAAAAAAACACTTAAAACCCCTAAAAACCTAAATAAGCGATAAATAAACCATAAAAACCCCGAAAACCCTAAAACCCTAAAAAAAAACCCAACAAAACTAAAAAAAAAAACCCTAAAAAAACATTAAAAATCCTAAAAAACACTAAAAAACCCTAAAAATCCCTAAAAATCCTTAAAAAACTCGAAAAACACGCTTAAAGACCCTAAAATCCGTAAAAACCCTTAAAACCCAAGAAAGCACTAAAAACCCTTAAGAAACCCTAGAAAAATGCTTAAAGACCCTAAAAAAACCCCTAAAAACTCTAAAAAAATGACAAATAACTCGAAAAAAACCCTAAAAACCCTAAAAAACACAAAAGAACCCCTAAGAAACACTAAAAAATCCCTAAAAACACTAAAAAAAACCCTAAAAACCTTTAAAACCCTAAAAACCCCTTAAAACCATAAAAGACCCTAAAAAGACAATAAAAAAACCCTAAAAACACTAAAAAAAACTACAACAAGCCCTAAAACCCCCCCCAAAAAAGCCTAAATAAACCCTAAAAAACCCTTAAAACCCCTAAATAAATCCTAAATAAACCCTAAAAACCCTAAAAAACCCTAAAACACTAAAAACCCTAAAAACCACTAAAAACCCCAAAAACCCCTAAATAAACACTTAAAAATCCAAAAAGTCATAAAAACCCTAAAAACAAAAAAAAATCTTAAAAAACCCTAAAAAAACACTAAAAAAATCCCTAAACACACTTAAAACCCTAAAAACCCTAAAAACACTAAATAAACCCTAAAAAACCTAAAAACCATAGAAAACCCCTAAAAACCCCTAAATAAACCCTAAAAACCCATAAAAAAAACTCAAAAACCCCCTATATAAACCCTTAAGTAACCTGAAATAAACCCTAAATACCCTAAAACCCCTATATAAACCCTAAAACAACCATAAAAACCCTTTAAAAGCCCGAAATAAACCCTAAATAAACCCAAAAAAATCCCTACAAAACCTAAAAAAAGGTATAAAAAAAACCATAAAAATCCTAAAAAACCACTAAAAACCCAAGAATAAACCCTAAAAACTCTAAAAAAGCCCAAAGAAAACCCTAGAAAAACCCTAAAAAATCCCTAAAAAAAACCTTTAAAAACTCTAAAAACCCTAAATAAATGCTAAATGAACCTTAAAAACTCCTAAAACCCTAAAAAACACAAAAATAACCTGTAAAAACTCTATAAAAACCCCCTAAAAACCCTAAATAAACCCTAAAAACCTTAAAAATGGTAAAACACTAAGAAACCCTAAATAAACCCTAAAAATCCTAAAAAAACTTTAAAATGAGCCTCTTGTTCTGCCTTCTTTTCCCCCCTCTTGTTTGGTGCTTTTGCTTTGCTTTGATCTTGTTAATTCGGAATGCTGAACCAATAGGGCTTTGATCTTGTTAATTCAGAATGCTGAACTGATAGGGCGAATTCAGAACTTTTAGAGTGAGTATTCGACAAATGTGGTTGAAAATTGAGTTTGGTCTGGGAATTTGAGGTTTAGATTTGGATTCTATGGCCAGATTCACCTTAAAAGCGTTTTTCCTTGTTCATTTGTTGGGTTTGAGTGCCAAATGATGATGATGAGTAGAATGCTGAATCGGTGGGGTCAATTGAAATTTGTTGCAATGAACTGGGAATTTCGTTTGGGATTTGAATTTACGAATTCCTGGAATTTTTTTAATATCTGTGATGAATTGACCTTACCGAACGAGCTTTCTGACTGAGTACCTTCATTTTTTTTCCTTCTTTTTTACCTAACAAAATGAACGAGCTTTCTGGCTATTTTTCTCTTCGTTGCAGGGGATGCTCCTTGGCCTTCTTCTTTTCCCAGCGGTGTTTAAATTTGTACTACAAATATGGGAATGGTTTTCAAGTAAACGATATTCTGAATCAAGGTCCAACAATGAAATTTGGAAGTCCCTTATATTCTTCTCTTCCCTTGGATTCGTTATGATTCTGATCATTCCATTATGGATGCAGTTTGTTCTGGATTTTCATATGCATCCATTGCTCTGGTAATGCTTATCTTCTTTTGCTCCCTTTTGTTACATTAAATTTAGTGTGGTAGCTATAAAGCTGTTATTTGGTAGCTATCAATTTATACACAATAATTTCCCGGTGAATAGATCATCTTGGTGGTGTTGTTGTTGTTGGTTTTTTTTCCCTTTGTTTTTTTTTTTTTTTTTGGCTAACCTGTGTCTGTAGACTCTAGATCGAATTGGCAACAATTACGACTAATCGGAGACAAATTCGTCACCGGAAAACTTGAATTACTGACAATGGCGGAAATTTAGTTACAGATTGGGTATGGGGATTTTTGAGAGATCCCGTGCTCTCCCTAACTAACTTCTCTCGGAAGCTTTACAAGAAAACAGAATGAATTATCTAATTCTATCTCTAACCTATTTATACAAAAGTCTAACTAACTTCTAACTCCCTTGCTAACTCAGACTCCGACTCAGCCCCCCTCCTTTCCTCCTCCACCTTTCCATCTAACAACTCCTTATGCTTCCTTCTAGCATAAGTGAAGCGCACAGGGGGCTTATCATTACTTCCGCCCCAAAGACGCACCTTGTCCTCAAGGTGGAAATTAGGGAACTGGACATTCATGACATCAAATGATTCCCAAGTGGCGTCATGCTCCGGCAAATTCTCCCAACGAATCAGCACCTCTAACTCAGTGCGCCTGCCATGAAGCCGTTGACGCACTCCAAGCAAAGCCGCTGGGGCGACCAGGAGCTCCAGATCTTTAGATAACTGCGGGGGCAGCTGGGAAACGGCCTGATCTTGTCTTACGGCGCGGCGTAATTGAGAGACATGAAACACCGGATGTATAGCCGCATCCGCTGGCAACTCGAGTCGGTAAGCCACTGGACCAACACGATTAGTAACCTCATAAGGTCCGTAAAAACGTGGGCTTAACTTTTCATTGCTTCGACGGGCTAACGAGACTTGCCGATACGGTCGCAGCTTGAGATACACCAAGTCGCCCACCTCAAATTGAACATCACGGCGTTTATTGTCCGCCACAGCCTTCATCTTCTGTTGGGCACGCAAGAGATGAAACTTGAGAAGATCTAACATAGCATCTCGGTACATTAATTGCCGTTCCACGGACTCCACCGGCGACGCCCCCACCCCATAGCGTAGCAAGGGAGGGGGAGCGCGTCCATACACCACTTGAAATGGCGTCATCCGCGTAGAAGTGTGGAAATAAGTGTTGTACCAGTATTCTGCCCACGACAACCACCTATGCCACCGGCCGGGCTTATTTGCCGAGAAACAGCGTAAGTATGTTTCGACGCACCTGTTAACGACCTCCGTCTGCCCATCGGATTGAGGATGGTATGCTGTGCTTTGGGAAAGTATAGTCCCCATCTGCTTGTGAAGTTCCGTCCAGAAATGGCTGAGAAAAATTCGGTCCCTATCCGACACAATGGTGCGGGGAACACCATGAAGCCGCACCCTTCTTGGATGAATCGGCGGGCCACTGTCTCCGCTGAAAAAGGATGCTTGAGGGCCAGAAAATGGGCATATTTGCTGAAGCGGTCCACAACTACCAAAATAGCATCGAAACCATCCGATTGTGGCAGCCCCTCAATGAAGTCCAAAGAGACATCCTCCCACACTTGGGCGGGTGTAGGAAGTGGTTGCAAGAGCCCACTAGGAGCCAAAGTCGAGGCCTTGCAACGTTGGCAAACCTCGCTCGCTGCCACATAGGAAGTCACATCTTTCTTCATGCCCACCCAATGCCAATCGGCCGCAATCCGCCTATAGGTTTTTAATTCCCCCGAATGTCCCCCTAACACGCCCTTATGATAGGAACGTAAGAGTTGCTGCACGATAGGAGATTTCGAAGGAACAGCCATGCGGCCCCGAAAGAACAACCTCCCCTGCCGGATGGAATACCCAGGGTGCGCCCCTGAATCCCGTTGAAGATCGATCCAAACAGTTGCCAACCGGGAATCCTGTAACACTTGCTGGTGTATGGTCTCAGAATTTATGACGGACGTGGCGGCCAAAACATTGAGATCCGAGGCAGCCATGCAGCGGGACAAGGCATCCGCCGCTCGATTCTCAACTCCGGAGCGGTATTGGATCTCGAAATCGTAACCCAACAACTTAGTTAACCATTTCTGATGCTTCATATTCACTAGACGTTGTTCCAGCAAATATTTTAGGCTACGCTGGTCGGTCCGAATGACAAAATGGCGTCCCAATAGGTACGGCCGCCACTTTTGGACAGCCAACACAATTGCCATTAGCTCTCGCTCATACACTAATTTACCTCGAGCCTGGGCGGATAATACCTGACTAAAGAATGCTATAGGCCGCTGCTCCTGCATCAAGACAGCCCCTACACCAAACCCGGAAGCATCCGATTCGAGAACAAAGGGTTTGGTGAAGTCCAGTAATGCCAATACCGGAACTTGTGTCATGGCCTGTTTTAGATTATTAAATGCTTAGGCAGCTCCTTCATCCCACCGAAAACAGTCCTTCCGAAGCAAATTCGTCAAGGGCCCCGGCCACAAATTTCCGGTAGTAACTGGTCAATCCTAAGAACCCTCTCAATTCCCGTAAATTCGCAGGAATTGGCCATTGCAACATGGCTGAAATTTTGGCCGGGTCCGCCGATACCCCTTGGTCGGACACAATATGTCCCAAGTACTCTATTGATCGTTGGCCAAAACTACACTTCTTTTCATTGGCATAAAGGTGGTGTCGTTGCAATTCTTCTAACACCTTGGTGAGATGGAACTCATGTTCTTCCAACGAATGGCTGTAAATGAGTATATCGTCAAAAAAAACAAGCACAAACTTGCGGAGAAATGCTCGCAAAACCTCGTTCATAAGGGATTGAAAAGTCGCCGGAGCATTCGTCAAACCGAAAGGCATAACGAGGAATTCGTAATGCCCTTCATGAGTACGGAACGCTGTTTTCGGCACATCTTCCGGTCGCACCCGAATTTGGTGGTAACCCCGACTTGAGGTCAATCTTGGAGAAAATTGTTGCTCCGTGAAGTTCGTCAAGGAGCTCCTCAATAACGCGAATCAGAAAACGATCGGGCACTGTTTCCTTATTCAAGGCGCGGTAATCCACGCAAAATCGCCAACTCCCATCTTTTTTTTAACCAAGAGCACAGGACTGGAATACAGACTAACGCTCGCTTGGATGATACCGGCTGCCAACATTTCCCCAACCAGCCGCTCAATTTCCGTTTTCTGAATATAAGGATACCGATAAGGTCAAACGTTTATTGGCGATGTTCCTTCCTTTAAAACAATGGCATGATCTTTTGCCCTGGTGGGAGGTAACCCCTCTGGCAAGTCAAAAACCCTGCCAAACTTCTCTAATACTGCCTTCAGCCCTGGCTGTACTTCTTCCTCAACTTTCCCCTCTTGGTCACTCGGTTTCACCACTAGATTCCCTAATTCCACCCAGACCCCTTGGCCTTCCCGTCTCAAGGCTCGCATCAATGCCTTGAGGGCAACTGGTGACCTGTTCAGACTGGATCTCCACGTAGTGTCACGTGGTGATCACCTAAATTGAACTTCATGAATAAAGTTTTCCAGTTCACCGTGACTACACCCAAAGTTTCCAGCCATTGAATTCCCAATAGTACATCGGAACTACCCAATTCTAATGGTAGAAAATCCTCCACCACTTCAACCTCTTGCAAGGTAACCACCACTCCCCTACAAACACCCTCTCCTTTCATAGAGACCCCGGTTCCCATAATCACCCCGTATCCATTAGTTTTATCAATATTCAGTCCCAATTTTTTAACCAAATCACAGGAAATAAAGTTGTGGGTAGCCCCACTATCAATCAAGATTATTACCTCGCACCCCCGTATGATTCCCCTGAGCTTCATCGTCTTTGGTGCCGTGAGACCTACCACTGAGTTGAGCGACAATTCCACCAACTCCTCCTCCTCTACAGTCTTATACTTCTCGTCCGCCTGTTTCTCATGGCCTTCCTCTTCTTCCTCCCTGACAATCAGTACCTGTAACTCCCGATTGGGACAACGATGGCCGAAACTATATTTGCCGTTGCAACGGTAACATAGGCCTTTTTCTCTTTTGGCCTGCAGTTCTGCGTCGGTCAACCTCCTAAAAGGGGCCGCGCTGCCTCCCGTCCCGGTGTTCTTCTCCGGCGCCGTTGAGTTTCTTTCCGTCGGTGCTCCCATGTTTCTCGGTGTCGCTCCAGGATATCCCTGGCCGACTTTGTAACCAGAAGGCCCCGTATTTACATTTTGAATCCTGTTCCAGAAAAAAATTTTGTGGGCCTTGTGGGCCTGCTACTCTTGGCCCGCGTACCGACTGATTACGCTCCTCCACCCGCTAGGCTACCTCCATTATTCGGCCTAGCCCTTCAGGCTTCATCAATCTTATTTCCGCCCTAATCTCCGGCTTCAGACCTTTGACGAACGTGCTCTCCAGGACTTGCTCCGAGAGCTCCGTTAATGGCGCCGCCAGAATCTCAAATTGTCTCCGGTAATCTCTCACCGTCGTTTCCTGCCAGAGTGATAGGAACTTCTCGCATAGGCTCCCTTCTTGCGTAAGACGAAAACGTTCTAAAAGCATCAACTTCAACACCATCCAGCTCCGGATCGGACTGCGGCCGTCCTTCCATTGGAACCACGCCAAAGCCTCACCCTCCAGGCTTACCACCGCCACATCCAGCTTTTCCCTCTCCGTCATCCTGTTCATGGCAAAATATCTTTCGGCTCGAAAGATCCAACCATCAGGATTCTCGCCGTCAAATACTGGCATTTCTACCCGTCGAGTACGTAATTCCGCACGTATTCCTCCCTCTCGGTGCAATTCCTCCGTCGGCGCCTGCGGATCTGCCGCTGTTCCTTCTGCTGCCCACGGTGGCTCCATATTTCCCGAGTCCCTCTGCCTCATCAACAAATCCATCCTCTCAAGCAACAATTCCATTCCTTGTTCCAGCCTAGGAATCTTCTTCAGATCCTCCCGGATTCCTTCTAATTCCTTCTGGAATTCTTCCCTCGATCCTTTCGTCTTCTCCTTCTCGCGATCATCAGTGCGTCTCGTCATTCCAAGATCAAGTGCTCAGATACCAAATGATAGACTCTAGATCGAATTGGCAACAATTACGACTAATCGGAGACAAATTCGTCACCGGAAAACTTGAATTACTGACAATGGCGGAAATTCAGTTACAGATTGGGTATGGGGATTTTTGAGAGATCCCGTGCTCTCTCTAACTTCTAACTCCCATGCTGACTCAGACTCCGACTCAGCCCCCCTCCTTTCCTCCTCCTTCTTTCCATCTAACAACTCCTTACGCTTCCTTCTAGCATAAGTGAAGCGCACAAGGGGCTTATCAGGTGCACAGTCTAACCTGTGTCTATGTGGTACTTAAGTAGAATTTATATTGCTTTATTTTAGTTGTCATTGTATTAGTAAGATTACTGATGATCTATGTGACTACGTGAAGAATGATTGACTAGCAACCCTTAGGATTAAAAGCTATTTTAATGAATACCTTGCGTTCGTTACTATTTCTTATGAATGTTGTAGATATTAGAATTGTGAAGGATTCGGATACATGTCCATGATTTCTATTTGCCTGTACCGTGAAGTTCTTCATAACTAATTCCTATAGCCATTTTTTGTCCTTATTCTTGCTTCTAAGTTGAACTTTTTTTTATATATAAGTTTATAATTGTTCTAATGTCATTTTGCAGCATGTTCTGGAGCATGGAAAGCCACATGAGCGCACTGCTATAATAACAAAATTGGCCGGACAGATAGTTCAAATGAGCCAGCAGAAGTTTGCCTCAAATGTGATAGAGAAGTGTTTAACTTTTGGATCTCCTGTTGAAAGCCAGATCCTTGTGAATGAAATGCTTGGTTCCACTGATGAAAATGAGCCCCTTCAGGTATGGGCCATGGCATCCATACATGCATGCTATCTTTGGCTTGCCATGGATCTTATTTAAGTCTATCTTATCCATTTCCCTTTTTAAGATAGGTGATAATTGGGGGGAGACACGTTACTTTAAAGGTTTTTCTGAGACTACGATTTCATATGGATATAAATTGTCCAGAAAAAGAAAGTTTCATGGTTGACGTTGTGTGATGTTTTCTTATCTTTTTCTATGTTTCTTAATTCTAATTTATTTATTCATTTATATTTTCTTGCGAATTGATGTTAGGTGATGATGAAGGATCAGTTTGCGAACTATGTTGTACAGAAAGTGCTAGAAACTTGTGATGACCAGCAACTTGAACTAATCCTTAATCGTATAAAGGTTCATCTGAATGCTCTTAAAAAATACACTTACGGAAAACATATAGTTGCACGTGTAGAGAAGCTTGTTGCTGCTGGAGGTACTTTTATTACTTGCACTCCTCTGTTTCTTTTCTTATACATATTTTCTTTTGCTTGTTGCCTGCACTGAAGAAAGCAGTCCGTTTTGCGAAGTCTTGTCTTGGTTTGATATTTTCTTTTTCTCCATCCTTAGTTTTGTAAGCCGTTAGGCAAATGACTGGGTTTGGGCATCTTAAAGTGCTGTTAATGACTAATTTTAAGGCGCATTCTTGGTGGGATGTTCTAGAAATTAGAGTTAAAAAACGGAGCATCTGAAAAATTTTGCCACTTTAGGCGCTTGTTTATAGAATCTTATTTTTACAGAGCATCTGAAAATTATGCGTGCTTGTACAGAGCATCTGAAAATTATGCACGCTTGTTTACCTCTCCTGATTCATTACCTCTTGGAATGGAGCAGATATATATTAGACGCACTATCCAATGAAGCAACAACATGAACTTATTCAAAAGCTACTTCAACAGATAAATACGCCATCAGATCATCCTGAACTTTCCGCTTCAAGAAGAGAAGATCCTCTGTCACGGCTATCACCGGCCTCAGTTTGTTAGAGCATTTAATTTTTGTAATATTAGGGTTTGTTTAAGTATGACTATTTTAGTATTTTATTTGAATTCTAATATGTATTGAAATATTTAGAGATTTTAAAATTAATATTTGGTATTTTATTTATATATATATATTTTTTAAAAATACAGATATATAAATCTATCTTAGTTTTGGTGACCAAAAAGCTCACATTTTTTATTACAAAATATATTTTAGTACTAAAATTTTAGTAGCAGCTCACACTTCTTGCTATCAAATATATTTTACTACTAAAATTTTGGTAGCAGAAAACTTACACTTTTTGCTATTAAAAACATTTTACTACCGAAACTTTTGGTCCCCGAATGTTATATATTTTGTTACTAAATACATTTTGTTACTAAAAAAATTTTTCGGTAATAAAAACTATTTGCTATCAAAATTTTAGTAATTAATACTTTTTACTACTCACTTTCTGCTACCAAAATTTTTTGGTAACAAAAAATTTTGCTATCAAAAATAGGGCTTTTGGTTACCAAATTTTTGGTAACAAAAAATTCAAATTCTTGTAGTGCTAGCTAATTAACGAAACATTTCAACTTACTAAACTAAACATAAGGTTTTCGCTCCTTTTTCATTGACAACACCACGATTTCCCTTATTCTTTTCTTAAGTTACTTTTTTTTTTCCCCGTAAAGTAATTAGCAACTGCTTAATTAGGATCTTTTTCATCTTTCCTGAATTATATTCAGTTAAGATCAATTTGTGTTTCGACCAGAATCAACACAAAATTAATCATAAAATTTATATCTGATCCAAAACCATTTAGTAAGAAGAAATACCAACTATATATATATGTATATCTCGCGAACAAGCGCAAAGCTATATAGCCGATCACAGAGGTACATATAAATGATAGACAAATCATCTAAACCTGAAACAAATGTGTTAAACAAAGAAGGGTTTAGCACAGAAGTTGAACGCCACATACTACGTCTGAAACAAGTATGTGTTAGCAAATAAGAGTTCTGAGAACCATGCAAATACAAATTAAAACATATCAACACACGTACTCGATTCTGATCCACAGAAGCTCAACGCCACATACTACACCCAAAAAAAATTATGTGTTAACAAATAATGGTTCTGATCCCATGCAAATACGTACAAAACATGCACAGATGTACATAACTCTCGTAAAGCATGATCGCCACGTCCCAGATTCCAACCCCACTTTGCCCTCTATAAATAACATCCAATTCTTCTCCTCTACCATATCGCCTTAGAATTCACCCTCTTCTTTGGTATATAACATTGAGTTTTAGCCATGGCTAGCTCTTCCTTGCTCTGCATCACCCTTCTCTCCCTTGCCCTCTTCCACAATTGCTTTGCTCAGATCGAGCAAATGCCTCTGCGGTCGAGGCAGCAGATGCAGCAGAGGAAGCAGCAACAGCGGTGGCAAACCGAGTGCCGCCTCGACCGCCTCAACGCCCTCCAGCCCTCTCGGCGCGTCGAGTCTGAGGCCGGCATCAGCGAGTACTGGGACCTCGAGAACGAAGACGAGCTCCAGTGCGCCGGTGTCTCCGCCGTCCGCCATACCATCCACCGTAGAGGACTTCTCTTGCCTTTCTTCACAAATGCACCAGATCTCACCTACATAATCCAAGGCATGTATAGTAGCTTATCATGAGGATCTTAATGTCCCCATATACACTAGATTGCAACTAGTTAGTTTTGTTTATCGTAGTTATTTTTTATTTGTAGACATTATTATTATTTCTTCATAATTTATCACAGGTAGGGGAATTCAAGGAGCTGTGATCCCTGGTTGTCCCGAGACTTATGAATCAGGACAATCACAACAATCACAGAGATCTCAACAGCAGCACCAAAAGGTTCGAGAAATCCGCGAAGGCGACATCGTTGCCGCACCTGCCGGAGTGGCTCAATGGTTCTACAACAACGGCGACTCGCCGCTTGTTTTGGTCTCCTTCGTCGACGTCGGCAACCAGGCTAACCAGCTCGATCTAACCGCTAGAGTAAGTAATATATAAAAAAGTATAAGCTCTAACAAAATTATATAAGATCATAAATTATATATTACAATCTCATGATATATATTTCATTCTGTTTCAGAGATTCCACCTTGGTGGTAACCCACAAAAGGATCAAAGAACCGAGCAAGAAATGCGCCTCCAGAGCCGTAGCCGAAGAAGTGAGAAAGGTGCCGGTGAGCGACGGAACCCTAACGGCAACATCTTCAGCGGTTTCGACGTCAAAATCTTGGCGGAGTCTTTCAACATCGACACCGAGTTGGCGAGGAAGCTCCAGAGCAAGAACGACAGGAGGGAGAGGATCGTCCGAGTGAGGGACGAGCTTCAGATCTTAAGTCCCTCCAGGATCCATGAGGAAGAACGCCGTCATGAATACCGAAGGGGATACGATTACGAAGAGTACAACGGCATGGAAGAGACATTCTGCACTCTGAGGATGAGGCACAACATCGACCGCCCGTCGCGGGCCGACATCTTCAACCCCCGCGGCGGCCGCCTCACCACCGTCAACAGCTTCAACCTCCCCATCCTCCGTTTCCTCCAACTCACCGCCGAGAGAGGTGTCCTCTACAAGGTGATTAATTGATCTTAGAAAACTTAAACTACTTACAGAATGATCATTTTACCCGTTACGAACCAAAACTATAGTCTATAACATTGATATGCTAATTTAAAATTTAACATTAACACTAGTATTAGGAAATATTTTAAACAATGACATATGTTCTTTTCACTAAATATATGCTAGCTATAGTAGCTAGAAATATTATTGAAGTTGTACAAGTAATTACAAGGAAAATGTTGCAAAATATTGCAGAACGCTATCATGGCACCACACTTCAACTTGAACAGCCACAGCGTGATCTACATCACAAGGGGCAGCGGCCGGTGCCAGATCGTCGACGACTTCGGGCGGAACGTGTTCGACGGTGAGGTCCAGATGGGGCAGCTGTTGGTTGTGCCGCAGAACTATGCCGTGGTGAAGCAAGCCAGCAGCCGCGGATTCGAGTGGATTGCAGTCAAGACCAACGACAACGCCATGAGAAACCCTCTCGCCGGAAGGATCTCCGCCATGCGGGCCATGCCGGAGGACCTTCTGGCCAACGTCTTCCGCATCTCCAGAGAGCAAGCCAGGAACTTGAAGAACAACAGGGAAGAGGTCACTATTTTCAGCACCCAGTCTTCTCAACAAGGCCGGGAGTATTAACTACTTTATATAAGCTAGCGATCGTTTGTACTTCAGGGGATCATGAGCAGTGGTTTACTAGTTTTAATAATCTAGCAAGTACGTAGAGAAATAGGAATAAATTCTCATGCATGTTGATCGGAGCAACATATATATATATATATATATATATATGCATGATATGTAGTCTATTTTGTATCAAGTACGTACTTACGTATTACAGCACTTGTACGTATGTTATATATATATATATATATATATATATATATTTGCGAGAAAGAATAAACAACGATGAGTACTTTTCCTCTATAAGTAATGAATAATGAATAATGTGTGCTCCTTTTCTAGTTAACTTCTTTCAAGTAGCGCAAAAACTGTACTTCAATATTTAGTGTCTCAATTGGTATAATACCAATCATAATGAGACATATTATTTGATAGATTTATATACCAAAGTAAGAAAAAGTTAGTTAAATATAATAGACACTATTTTAGACACCCAAATTAGACGGGTGATTACTGGTTAATGTTTAAAAATGTCTTATAAATGTTTAGTCTTGAGTTCACCAAGATGATGTCTCATTTAGGGCGTGTTCGTTTCATGGGTTTGGTTCGAACCAGCCCAATTTGAGTCAGCCCAATAACTCAAATCAGTGTTCATTACACCAACGCATCAACTCTAACTCGAATTGTGATCCCAGTTGAGAGGGCAGATTGGAATTCAATGGAGGCTTCAATTCCATTAACACAAACCTGTCTCTACAGTGATTTGTGCTCTACCTAACTCGGCCAAAAGCCTGTGGATTCCCTCGTGCCTTACCGTTGGTGTGTTTTTTCCTCTCCTCTTCCCAACGAAAGCTCTGTCGTTTCCCATCATCCACAGAGATGGAAAATTGCAGATCTCTCTTGCGTGATTCCCCCCCCATGACTTCGAACCTGCCTCTACTGTAAAATCTGCTCTGCACAACTCATTAGGCAAACGCCTGTGGGATTCCCTCGCGCCTTACCGTTGTGTTTTCTATCCTCTTTCCACCTAAAGCTCTCTCTGTCGTTTCCCATCATCCACATCGATGGAAAATTACAGATAAAGCTCTCGAGCCTTGCGTGGTGAACTTTGACCCATTTTCGTTTATGCATGTGGGTAGAACCTTCTCAACCCTCTTCTTCACTTCCCCCAAAACGGAGAAACTATGTGGAAAAATCCGCGATCGGAAACCTCCGTTGGCGGCTGTTTTGAGCAGATGTGTCCGTAACTGGCGACCTCGAACCCTAAATCACCGTCATCAGTGGAGAATTTCAAGGTACCCCTGTCGGCGACGGAGAAATTGGGGTATTCTGAGCTCATCTAGATTGGGGTTCTTGGTGGATGCGCACACACGTTCATCCATTGGGTCTAATTCGGTAAGTTCTCTCACCTTCTCCTTTCAATATTTTCTCTGTTCGTGGATGTGAGAATCAGCCATGTACAGTTCTGTTTTCTATATTCTTTCTAGATATCACAAGAGCTCATCAATGATTTTCACAGTTCTGGTTTCCACATGCAATTTTTTTGCCGTTCTGAATGCTTTTGATTGCTTACCACATGTTTGAGAAAATACTGCAAAGGAACAATGGATTGAATTGCTTGTTTATTTCAGATTTCATGTTTGCTCAGTGCATTGCTATAGGCTGCTAGTATTCGGCATGTGGACTGAATCTATATATATATATATATATAATTGACGATGGTGTCTTTTTCACGATACCATTGATAATGGGTCCTATAAGTGGGGTTTATTCTTGATGTCTCTCATATAGCCAAATATTAGAGAACTAGAGTGCATAAAATATGGAACCAAAACCCACAAATCTGTTTACAAATCTACTATGTGATAAGATTTAATTTGTATATTAGCCCAATTGAGCTTAAAGCATAAATGATACATAAACCACCTTTTGGAAATATAGTGGAGGTTTACACGTATATTATTGCCTTGTCCTTGATTGATAATTCAGTAACATTCAAGCATAGCTCATGCCATTAATTACTTGACGAAAAAAAGACATAATAGTACTAGTGGGCCACTTTTTTTTTATATTGAAATACTAATGTATCCATATAAAGTCAAATTGAAGCTTAAGTCAACCAAGACAAGGACAAGATTAGGGCACATCAAACCTACACCATTCAACTTAAAAACATGATCTTATGTATATCAACCCCCAACATATCAAGAAGATGAAAAAGAAGGCTAAAAAGCCAGTGAATGTTGCCAATTATCCTATCATTCTCTGCATGTCCATCTGCAAAAGCATGCAGTTTGACATGCTCTGTAAATTGACACTATCCGTGGATACAAATAAAGCCAGTTAAGTCTATATACTTCAACAACCCACTTGAAAATCAAGTCATATACCACATGATTACTTTTGCAGTTGGACATTTAAATTGTCTGATTTAGGCATAGGAATGAAACTAAGACTAAAATGTTATGGGAGTTTTTAATTAATAGTATGTGTACTTGAGATGGGAGATGCATAGGAAACCAAATTTAACTTGTTTAGGTAATTACAACTTAAAAGCTTGCCGTAGCTAGCTAGGTAGCTAGTTGAAGATGTAGCTAGCGTCTTGCATAATGCAAAGACATCAAGTGGTTTGAAAAGGAGAGTCTAGGGAAGTCACATTGATGTTCATCGTCAAAATTAATAGAGGCTGCAACAGCAGCAGCTGAATTCACATAATCTACCAATCTAGGCAGCCACACACCATCCCTGATTTGTCATAATGTCATTGCTAGCTATTGTATGTCATACTAATTTGATTTGAGTATTCATGTAGTTTCTTAAACGATTGTCCACTTGGAAAATTATTATAAGGTCTTGAAAACTTGAATCTGCAAGTTGTGACAACTTGATTACAGTCTTACCATTCTATACTTGTAGGCTTATGCGATTAATTCTCATTTTAAATTCTCATCTCATGTTTCTAATGCACTTTTTCTCTCCCGTTTATATAAATATACTACACCTAATACTTGGATGAGAATATCAGCTCTTCTTCTTCTTCTTGGCCGGATTATTGGCAATGATGAATCGTTTTTTTAATGCATATCAGTTTCATTGTAGCGCTATCCTTTCGGTATTTAGTCATTTATTAGTTGCCGCTTTATTTATGCGGGCTATGATGGATTGAACCATGCCCTAAGTGTAGTGCTCCGAAACTACACAAAAGGGAATGTGATCCCTTACCTGCTACAATAAGGCATGGTAGCAAAACTGCCTTGCCTTAGGGGTAGTGCTCCGAAACTGATGATGACGTTTTTATACGAATTTCTGAGCCAAATGAGTTTAAACGTATTGCTTTAATCATCCATTCTTCTTTGTCGTGGCATATTGCTCTTTCTTGCCGTGGGTGGTGGTCTTGATGTTATGTATTAGATGCCGTGAAGGAATGAAGAGGACGTGACTTTCTATTGGTCTGAGAAACAAAGACATGCGTTGTTAATCCGCCTTGCGGAATACAATAAGAACAACAGACGTCAACCAGAGGTAGTTGATTGGGAGCACTGGGCCACCGAATTATCCCCTCTATTTTCCACTCCCATTCCTCCAGGCCGGGTGAAGGAGGCCAAGGAAAGACTGAAAAAGAAATTCAATGCTAAGCTTGCCCTTCGCACGAACACCGGTCTCGGATGGGATCCAGTAAAAAATTGTCCAACATGCACGGAGGAGTATTGGAATGACTTCTGCAAGGTTAGTACTTTTTCTATGTACTTCGGCATATATGGTTTCCTAAGATGATTTTGATCCAATTGCTGACTTCCAAGTTGCGTTGTAAACAGTCGCACAAATGGGCAAAGCGTGCACGCAACGACCCACTAAAAAATTACGACCTCTACTACGAGGCCTTCGCGAGTACGCGTGCACGTGGTGCATTTGAATCACGGATGGACGATACTGATGAGGAAAATGAAACCTCACAGCCGCACATAGAGGAGGAGAATGTAGATGGCGGAACCTCTCAAGCTGGTGACACTGAAGGTTTTGTTCGAACAATGCGGAGCGCCCTACATTCCTCGGGAAGCCCATTGAATATTGCCTCTTCGTCGCGGCCAATCTCAAAGCGACCAACCAAGAGTGGGGTAAGAATGATGGATCCAGAAGCGAAGATCCTCCTAAAGAGTATAGTCAACACTCTTGAAAGTCGCCAGTCTAGCAAAGGCACTAGTTCAGGTGCTACTCAGCCTGGGGCTACTCAACCTGGTAAAACCCCGAGTTCAAACTTCGACCGTTGCTGTGAAGTCATAAGTGAAATGCTACTTGACGACGAACAGGTTGTAACTTTCAGTGAGTATTTAAACTGGAAACCAAATTGTCAGAACTTGTTTTTACGTTTGAAAGAAAGCCAACGGCTTCTGTATGTGTTGAAAACAATGAAGGCCTTGTCCAATCAACAGACCCCACCTACTGGACCCACATATCCATTCTTCATGTCCCAGGGAACACAATTTATGGGTTCCCAACCATTCCAGATGCATTCCCAGCAACAATTCCCACAACATCATGCATCTTTTCCCCAACAACCCGCGAACTTAAATCAACCACCACCCAACTTTCAGCAACTGCATCAAAGTTTTCAACAAGTCCCTCCTAATTTCCAGCAAGGCTCTCCTAATTCACAACGCCCACCACAATACTACATGGGTAATCAATACCCAAACTTTCCAGCACCATTTGGTGGAGAAGGGAATGACGATCATGTGTAACAACGGAAGACTTATTTGGTACTTATATTGAGTTATCTGTACGCATTTCGTTTAGGTTATTGTAGTTTTTTATTCATGAACTCTCATTTAGTTGTTTAATTGCCGGCTTCTGTACTATGTTATGTAGTGAGTTTACATTATTGTGTTGTATTTTCGAACAAGGTATAATTTGCCCCTACGGGCCTTATCCACCTTTCATTTCCCGTGTATGTGTCGTACTATCCATTAATGACATTTGTTTGAGACATGTATTACTTTGAATACTTGCTATTGCTA